TATGTTGTAATATAACACAAATCTATGTGTCAACGATCTATGTTGTAATATAACACAAATTTATGAGTCAACGATCTATGTTGTAATATAACACAAATCTATGAGTACACGATCTATGTTGTAATATAACACAAATCTAAGCGTCAATGATCTATGTTGTAATATAACACAAATCTATGCGTCAACGGTCTATGTTGTAATATAACACAAATCTATGTGTCGGACAGACTAACGCGTCAACATCACATGACCTCCTGAGTCACCATGACGACAACAGGAAACACACAAGTACCGGAAGTAGGTCTCAAGAGTACGGTGTATGGTACAATACAACATAAATCTATGGGCCAGACTGACATCTCAATGGTCTATTGCGTAATATAACACAAATCTATGCGTCAGACAGACTAGCGTCCCAACATCACGTGACCTTCAGTCACCATGACGACAGGAAACGCACAAGTACCGGAAGTCCCACCTTCCACATTGATGCGCCGATGTTTGGGCCTCTCCTCGCCATCCCCACAACACATGTTGGCGCATGCGCGGGAGTGCACTCACTCACGCTGAGCACAAATGTAATCCACTCACGCCTGGTGACGATAATCCACTCGCGTCGGGCACGACACTCCACTCACGCGATAATCCACTCACGTCCACTCACGCTGGGCTCGATGGTACTCCACTAACGCCGGGAGACGATAATCCGAGATGAGTAGCGAGCACGTGCGCAGCTGACCGGAACTAACTCACCAACTGAGGCGAGGGGTCAGTGCTGGGGCCGGGTTAAGGGAACCAGTAGGTAGATAGGTAGGTAGGTAGGTAGAAACAATTCCTGTAGTATTCTTTAGCGTTCATCAGGGGAAATAATATTGTTCAGTTCCCACTTTGTCCTCATTCAACTATGTCACCCTACCTGACCCAATCGCACAAGATCCAGGCTCGTCACACGAACCGGGAACCATAAGCCGGAGAACTCCAACTTGTCACAGGTTTAGATATATCCAGTGACACTGTCAGCGGTTTGCAAGAGCCGTAAAACACTTACTAAAACAAACTGTCAGCAGTTTACATAATATATATCCAGTGACACACTGTTACGTGAATCTCCAGTCCCTGCGGACAATTGAGAAAGTGCAGGAGATGTCTAACCGTAGACTTGACTGTTCACTTTATAAAAACAGAGACACATTCTTATCACCAAATCCAATCCTTGACGTGGCTGATCGTATTGGGGAAAATTTCGACAACCCCACTCACGGACACACTCACTGACACATTCGCAGACACACTCGCACAAACACACACACCCATCCACACACACGCACACACACACACACACACACACACACAC